TTTTTAAAAAAAATATATAGATTCCAAATACATTGGCACCATTTTATATAGTTAACACTTATAGAACTTCTATGTATTTTTATATATGAAAGGTTGCTAATTTAGGAATTAGTGTATGAAATGCTATCAAAACAAACTATACAAAACAGCACACTTAAAAAAAAAAAGTGTTACCCTTAATGCATCCTATCGGTTTTGACTGCCAAGAATTAAAGTAAATAAAAACCAGAGGGTTAATTCAAAAGACTATACATGCATTACACGGATAACGCCAAAATAACCAGTTACAAGAGTAGGGTAAACATCAAGTGAACTCAATGTAGCCTATTGTTGTAAACACCATTATATTCCCTCAGAAACTGCCCACCCTCTTTGGTAGCAAGCTAACTAGCTACCAGAAACCCAAGAGTCTCTTGCCGTTCACTCCAAATGAATCCCAGCAGGCCTCCAGAAAGGTGGATAGGGATGTTCCACTGCTCTCCGGTGAGAAGGAGCACGGGCAAGTCCAAAATAGGTGGTTAAAACGAGGCCATCAAAAGTGTCCATGCTTGGCATCTGAAGCCGCTTCGGAGCGTCCATTTTGAGCCCACGCCATTTTGACGTGCTTACATAAACACTGGCCTCACTAAGCTCAAACTAAAAATAATTATCAAGGGGATTCTCCATAATAGCTGGATAGAGATGGCCAAAGTCCATTTATCCTGTGCGGCTCCAACACTATACCTATATTTCTGCTTTCAAGGACATCGAGACCACGAAGCCCCTCCCAAACAAAAGCCGAACTCCAGCGAAGAACGAAGGCCCTCTTATAGCAGGGCTTTAGCGCACACACAAAAAAGGGCAGACTCTTCAAAAATCACAAGACGCAGACCGTGTGAGGATGTGCGCTGGATGTCGTCGAAAACAAAGAGAGCTTCGGCTGAATGAAAGGGATCAGCCGTATCCAAAATGGCGTCGACGGCCGCAGGATAGGAGATCCACGAGCCGCTCCAGACGCGCCGCTTCACGACGCGCGATGCTTGAAGCTCACACGGATGGCAAGACAAAGGGCTTAGGGAGAGAACACATTATGCACAATATATATCTAACGAGCTACACTCCCAGAGAAGCTCCAGGGGCCAGCTAGCCGCCATGTTTGCTGGCAGCATAGAAAGATAAAAACGGGGCTTCACCCAGGCGTGTGGATGCGCCCGTGATTTTCTCCGCTTTCTCCTACCCTGCTGTACGGCGTCGGTCTGCTTCTTCCGCGGCTCAGGTTCTGTCGGTTCCTCATGGGGCCCGATCCGCCGCCGCGGCCTCCAAAGCCTCCTCCTGTGTTTCCGAGGCGCCCGCCGGCGCCAGTACCGCGGCCTCCGCCTGCGCCTCCGCGGCCACCGCGACCTCCTCTCCCGCTGCCGCGCCCGCCGCCCCCGCGCTGCCGGCTTTGCTTGATGATGTCGTCTAAGGACATATCCATCTTGTCTGCCATCGTCTGGACCTTGTTAACGCTAAACACTGCCGTTAACTTAAAAAAAACAACCCCCGCTCGTGTGAAGTACTACACTAACCGTGTACTACCGATCGCTCACAGAAGAGGAAACGACAACCCACCGCCGGAGCCGCTTTTATAGCAGGACCGCTCGTGACGTACATCGGGGAGACGAACGCTTCCGGTTTAAATTCCTCTGTACAGACCTGTTTTTATACAGTCTATGGTACAGACGAAGAGTTTATTTGCAAAAACAGATAACTCCGTTTATAATTTTTTTTGTAAAAATCATGTTTTTTTTAATATTATGTTATCGTGTTTTTATTGTGTTTTATTGTGTTAGTTAGCTAGTATTTTTTATTTTTTTTTACCTAATCAAAATAACCCAACTGCCGCTTGATTGAGATTAATTGGAATGCACAATAAAAACATGATTTTTGAAACTGTTTTTGCAAATGAACTCTTCAGATTTTCTTTAAAAATATTAAAAGTTAATGCTATAATTTTCTCTCTGGCTTTTGTTTTTCGACCTTTCCAAACTCACAAATGCAAATATACTAATTATAAGCCTTACTAAAACTATTTTGTTGTTGTTAATGACATTATGTTTAGGCTTATATTTGTAATATACAGAGGCGGACAGTAGTGAAGTAGCTATTTTTACTCTGCTGTAAAAGTACTTTTCAAGTGTCTGTACTTTATCAGTGTTTTTCTTTAGAAAACTTTGCTTCACAACATTCCAAAGCATAATATTGTACTTTCCACTGCACTACGTTTTATATTAAATATAATTTAATACTTAATTACATTAGAAATCTAGTACTTTCTTACTTTTACTCAAGTAAAAGTAATTCAAAGTTTTACTTGAGTACAAGAAAGTACTACATTTTTAATGTTATTAAGTATTAAAGGTAAAAAAAAAAAACTTTCTTTTATGAAATGTAGTGCTGTAAAAAGTAAGACATTGGAATGTAGTGAAGTAAAAGTTTTCCAAAGAAAAACACTGATAAAGTACAGATACTTTTTGAATTTACTTGAGTAAAGTAAAAAAAATACTTCACTACTGGTAATAAATAGATGTCAGTTTAATCAAGTCCATTGAAATTTGCTCTATTTGCAAATAATTTACTTAAGTGATCTTTTTAATACCTTTTTTGTTGTTGTTGGTCTCTATTTTTGTTGAACCTATTTGTGACCCTGGACCACAAAACCAGTCATAAGGGTCTTTTTTTTTCTTTCAAAATTGAGATTTATACTAAATATGCTGAATAAATAAGCTTTCCATTGATGTATGGTTTGTTAGGATAGGACAATATTTGGTTGAAATACAACAATTTGAAAATCTGGAATCTGAGGGTGCAAAAATATCTAAATACTGAGAAAATCGCCTTTAAAGTTGTCCAAATGAAGTTCTTAGCAATGCATATTACTAATCAAAATTAAGTTTTGATATATTTACGGTATATATACCACCGATAAAGAACCTGTAATGGTTTTGTGGGTCACATTTTAATCTGTCTTGTAAGGGTTTTATTTGTATTTGTGAAATATGCTTTCAACATTTTTTTATTAGGAAAAATAGACATATAACAATGTAAAATGGATATCTATATTTTCTTTGAATAGTTAAAAAACTTGAAATCATCCTTTCCATTTAGACCGAGGACAAATGCTAAAGGTGTGAATTATGTATATTTCACAGTACTCAGAATTTTAATTGAATTAAATTGAACTGTATTGTGTTTGATGCAATGAGATCCAGGCAGATGAGTATGACTATTATTAAATAAAATAATGATTAATACAATAAAAGAATGATGTAAATATAAAAATTATAATAGGAAGTACGTTTAAACAAAATGAAGATCTCTTATTCAGTCATTTATACTAAAGTGCAGTTAAAAATGGCTTTCACACCCTTAGAACAAATACTGCAAAATGAGCACTTTTAAATATCATATCTCACATATTACAAAAACACCGTTTCTGGAAAAGAACATCATGAATACTCAGGCAGCAGTTGAAAGATGTCCAATATCTGACAAAACACCAGTAAAGACGACGTATCTTTCAAACATATATGAAATGTGCATAACATTTTTTTTTTGAAGAATACCACAAATATTACATACAAACATAAATCAATCGAAATAAAGGATAAACATAAATGAGTAACGAGTCATAGGAGCAAATACTTGAATATTAATATATGATGAGGGTTAATATCAGAAGCATAAATCAATAAATAATAAACAAACACATGGATATGAAAAGCAAGGAAACAACACTAATGATTCGGATACACCAGTGTTTAATTATATAGAAGGTGGAATATTTGACTAAACATTTCCCCTGACTGATTAATAGCCAGCATTCATGTTAAAATCTATCCTCATCATGATTCAAATCTGAAACACCCAAATACCAAACTAATGTCATTTTATATAATAATATCAGCAAATGAACTAATAAAAAATACTGGCAATAGGTAGGCTACTTACCATAAATACACAGTATTTGTGAAAAATATAGACATGCATTAGAAGCCTGTAATATGTCTAATAAGGGCTTTTGAGAAAGATTTATGATGATAAAAATCATATCGCCTCACAAAGTGGTGAGAATGGGATCATGATATGATCACTTACCTGAACTCTTCTCGAAAATGTAATGTCCGGCTTTTCTCACTTTCACAGTTCTCTCCAAAATGGATTCAAATCAAAATATAATACAATTACCCCACATTATGGGTTACCAAAATCTAGACCCTGTCTTGAATCGGTCTAAATGCAGATTGCAGATACTAAACTGGATTTATGGAAAGTGGAATTAAAACATTGTTTCATTTTTACACTTTCCCAGTCCTGTATCATTTCATTCATCCCAAAACGCTCATCCCTTTTTTAAAATCTAAATCTATCTCGTCAAGTCAGAAAGATGGTTTGTTACTGCTATTGCTATTCTATAGAGTGTTTGCTTAGACATACATTTGGATAGGGTTGTGATTTCAAGATGTGTCATGAGGATTTCCCAAGCATTTTAACTTAAAACACATTTACCTGCTAAACATTCACGTTGTCAAATTTTAGGAGTACACATATAAAAAAAAAAAAAAGCACACAGATGACCTCAAAGTCAACAGACAAACTCCATGATAAATACAATGCAGAGAGGCTGAGATAACAGAAGAGTAATCTTTATTTTAATTTCTATTTTAAAGGCTGGGAACGAAAGATGTGGGAAAAGTCTACTTAAAAGTTTTTGAAGGTATCAATTCATAGTTAAAAATGGAGGTGCGTTTACTAAAAATATTTGCCGAGCCAAACTTACCTGTCCTACCAGACAAAACTCGCTAAATTCTTCTATGAATCAATCAATCTACGAAACTAACTGAACAGTCAGTCGCTCCCCATCAGGTGATCAACATGTTTTGAAAGAGGAGTATATTCCAGGACTGCGTCCCATTTTGAGAGAGTTTGTGTAGAGTCTGTCCAACAGTTTAAGCATCCTTTCTCAAAAAAAAAAAAAAAAAGAGAGAGAGAGATCAGAGAGCCCTCTTGAAAATGTAACGCATAAATAGATGTCAGCCTGTAAGTCCAGACCACAGGTCCAACAGGCAGAGAAAAGAGAAGCTTTCTGGACTAAGGTGGCTAAATCTTCCAGCTTGTGGCTCTTTGTTGGCCGACAGAAGACTGATAGAGTAAAAAGGTCCCAAATGTAAAAGGAGGACAAAAACTGCTGGATCAGAAAGAGAGGGAACGGTTTAAGACTTCTTGGAGTCTTGTGTGTTCCGCTTCTTAAGGTCACTCAGGTCCACTGGTATAAAAGCTGAAAGAAAGAAGGGACAAAAAAAATGAAGCAAACCGATAAAAAAAAAAACACATGGCATGAACTTTGTCCACATATATAGGTAGGGCTGGGCGATATAGCAAAAAAAATTATCAACGATATAATGTTTCATATCGTTCGGTATCGATAATTATTGACATTTTTATAACCTTTTTTAAAACAAAAAGCAATAGATTTTTTTTTTAATTAACCACTGTATTTATAATGAACACAATTTATTGAGACAAACAACACATCTTTTTTGTTTTAACAATCAAACACAATAAAAAATTTAAACAAATATCTAATTTCTAATGTTTTATATGCAGATTAAATAGGTCTTTATTGTATAGGTCTAATTGTCTCCCGAGCTAACAAAACATTAAAATGCAACAACGTCACTTAAATCATCATCGCATCTCGCGCGCCACTGATGACACTCCCTGACGCACTCCTAACATTCAAACGCAAATGTTTATTTTAAATTCGACTAATATTCGTTCTTTATTCACAATCTCCTCATCACAGGCAGGCACAGCACTCATTTCAGCATGTGTTCTTGTTCGTGTGTGCTGTCTGCGCCACTCATAGTACGTGCCTATATCGTGCGCTATATCAAACATTTTTTCTATCGATATCGAAGAAGGTGTACCGTCGGTAAATATCGATACCGTTTTATCGCCCAGGCCTAGGTACAATGAACACTTTTACATTAAGTTAACTTTTACATAAAAGTAAGCTCACAATGTAGGTTGGGATTTGGGTTTTTCTCCACATACTCCTGTGGTCCACGATCATTACGTTCACTATTTTGTGGGGATTTAATGTCTCTTAAAACACAAAGCCAAGCTGGAAAGAAAGAAAAACAAAAGCATTACAACAACACTAATGTCTTGAAATCCAGAGTCTCCTACACTTTCTGATCAATAAATTTACATGTACATAATTATGGAATAAAGATTTTTAAAAATGACTATCCATAAAGCGTAATTTCTAGCCAATGAAATATTTAAAAGCAGAGCATCACTAGAACAAAAATGGCATTTCCACGCTTTTTATAGATTTGATAAATTTCAGTGATGTTCTCATGCATGGAAATCACACTTTTCCAAAGTGAAAATGGTGCTGAGCTTAAAAGGTGCATCTCATGTCTTACTATCATGGATGAAGCGCACATTTTCTTCATGTGCTGGTGTGAAAAGCTCTCCTGTATTCGTTGGTGATCGAGGGCTGGAAGTCCTCTTGTACGTGTGCATTCTAGGGGTAGAGGAGCTGGAGAAGACACAGAAAACACTGAATAAAATATTTCAGCATGACAACATGCATTAAAAAAATACTGAGAAACCATACTTAGTTGCTAAAAATAATGTAAGCAGAAAGTCCATTTTTGCTACAATTCCAAGAATCTAGCCACAAACATACTTGTGGATTTTTCCCCCCACTTTCTCTCAATTATTTTTACTTTAGTATTAAAAAGGTATTTTCCCCAAGTTTTAGAACCATGTAACAAACATGCTCAGAATGTAGACACATCAGATGTTAAACTGAAACCTACACCCTGAAACCTTTCACCCGAAACTGAAAACAAACTCAGCAGAAGGTGCTTTTATGGTAGTGGGACATCTGAAGCCGGGCCCTTTTTGCATTTTTGGGGTTCTCAAAAGTTGTGATAGTTAAGATACATTTTCATAGTTAAAAAATGGGAGACTACAGCAAAAATGTTTGCCTTCCCATTTGCTCCAAAATAAATAAATAAATAAAATTCCACAACTTTTCAAAAGAGGCAAGTCAGAAGAGAGATATCACATTTACCATCATTGCCTCAGACATTTGATTAAAAACACCCTTCCAACAGTAATTATAAGCATTATTTATGTTTTTAAAAGTAAAAAATAATCTGCATTTATTTAGAAAAATACAGTAAAACATTGATATTGTGAAATATTTTAAAAGAACTATGCTAACATGTTAAAATATATTTCTGTGATGTTAAAGCTGAATTTTCAGCATCGATACTCCAGTCTTTAGTGTCACATGATCCTTCTGCTGATGCTGATTCAGCTTTACCATCACATAAATGAAGTATAGGCTATTTTACAATACATTCAAATGGAAAACAGTTATTTTAAACTGTAATAATATGATTTCACAATATTACGTTTTTTTATTCTGTGATTTTGATCAAATAAATTCAGGCAAATGAATAGATAGATAGATAGATAGTTTAACTTTGCTAGATTTACAATTTTACTAACTGTAGAAACACATCACAATCTGTGAAAAGGATCCATTGTTTATCACTCAAGTCTTGTGTTTTTTTAACAGTGGTTCTATTTTAAGATTAAAATACATTCTCTGATTAAAAGACAAACGACTTTACCTTGTCATTCTGTTATAGTCTCTTGCCTCACAATCTCAGTATGAGGCTCAACAGGAATGTTAGCCTGTTCTTCAGTGTGTTTTCTAAGGGGAAAGATTTAAGTAATTCAGACAAAAGACACTAATTGTCATAAAATTGCATTTGAATAAAATATCCAGACAGCAAAACCGAAAACGAAATCATTGGTACACAGTTTATTAGCTGACATGACCGACTCAATCTGAGATCAGCGCAGAAGCACCATCAATGATTTTAACATATTTGTACTATGTTCATCTGTGCATAAGGCTGGCCAGAGACATTAAATGCGCTACACAGACACACGCTACTGTATTTCAATCACAAGCGAGAGGACAGGATTTAATTTAAGGAAGGTAATTCAGTCACTCGGTGTTTGTTATTGTTTATGAGTTCCTAGCAGCTAGTCTGTTAGCATTGTGTTCATAGTGAGAAACTGATGCAGACTTCACAAGCAATCTGAGCATAAACACAGCGAATGCATCACGACACATTCAGACTAACGCGCACACAGTGGAAAACGCGTAAATTAGCAGTTTCAAACCTGTCTCTTTGTTTCTGTTTCTTCTGCTATCTCTGTATTCTGGCCTGGATCGGCCGAAACGTTGCTAATGCCAACCAATTATTTCCGGTTCAGCCGAAGAAGCCGAGAGAGGGGCGCATGAGCGGGCACAGGTAGCCGACGTGCTGTGAAATTAGTTTTCATAAAGACTGTTTGCAAACATGAATTGCGATTTTTCATTTTTTAAAGGGGTCATATGATGCTGCTAAAAAGAACATTATTTGGTGTATTTGGTGTAATGAAATGTGTTTATGCGGTTTAAGGTTCAAAAAACACATTATTTTCCACATACTGTACATTATTGTTTCTCCTCTATGCCCCGCCTTTCTGAAACGCGTCGATTTTTACAAAGCTCATCGGTCTGAAAAAGCGAGGTGTGCTGTGATTGGCCAGCTATCCAGTGCGTTATGATTGGCCGAATACCTCAAGCGTGAGACGGAAATGTTACGCCCCTCCCCATACTGTGGTTGTGATAGTTAAGATACATTTTCATAGTTAAAAAATGGGAGACTACAGCAAAAATGTTTGCCTTCCCATTTGCTCCAAAATAAATAAATAAATAAAATTCCACAACTTTTCAAAAGAGGCAAGTCAGAAGAGAGATATCACATTTACCATCATTGCCTCAGACATTTGATTAAAAACACCCTTCCAACAGTAATTATAAGCATTATTTATGTTTTTAAAAGTAAAAAATAATCTGCATTTATTTAGAAAAATACAGTAAAACATTGATATTGTGAAATATTTTAAAAGAACTATGCTAACATGTTAAAATATATTTCTGTGATGTTAAAGCTGAATTTTCAGCATCGATACTCCAGTCTTTAGTGTCACATGATCCTTCTGCTGATGCTGATTCAGCTTTACCATCACATAAATGAAGTATAGGCTATTTTACAATACATTCAAATGGAAAACAGTTATTTTAAACTGTAATAATATGATTTCACAATATTACGTTTTTTTATTCTGTGATTTTGATCAAATAAATTCAGGCAAATGAATAGATAGATAGATAGATAGATAGTTTAACTTTGCTAGATTTACAATTTTACTAACTGTAGAAACACATCACAATCTGTGAAAAGGATCCATTGTTTATCACTCAAGTCTTGTGTTTTTTTAACAGTGGTTCTATTTTAAGATTAAAATACATTCTCTGATTAAAAGACAAACGACTTTACCTTGTCATTCTGTTATAGTCTCTTGCCTCACAATCTCAGTATGAGGCTCAACAGGAATGTTAGCCTGTTCTTCAGTGTGTTTTCTAAGGGGAAAGATTTAAGTAATTCAGACAAAAGACACTAATTGTCATAAAATTGCATTTGAATAAAATATCCAGACAGCAAAACCGAAAACGAAATCATTGGTACACAGTTTATTAGCTGACATGACCGACTCAATCTGAGATCAGCGCAGAAGCACCATCAATGATTTTAACATATTTGTACTATGTTCATCTGTGCATAAGGCTGGCCAGAGACATTAAATGCGCTACACAGACACACGCTACTGTATTTCAATCACAAGCGAGAGGACAGGATTTAATTTAAGGAAGGTAATTCAGTCACTCGGTGTTTGTTATTGTTTATGAGTTCCTAGCAGCTAGTCTGTTAGCATTGTGTTCATAGTGAGAAACTGATGCAGACTTCACAAGCAATCTGAGCATAAACACAGCGAATGCATCACGACACATTCAGACTAACGCGCACACAGTGGAAAACGCGTAAATTAGCAGTTTCAAACCTGTCTCTTTGTTTCTGTTTCTTCTGCTATCTCTGTATTCTGGCCTGGATCGGCCGAAACGTTGCTAATGCCAACCAATTATTTCCGGTTCAGCCGAAGAAGCCGAGAGAGGGGCGCATGAGCGGGCACAGGTAGCCGACGTGCTGTGAAATTAGTTTTCATAAAGACTGTTTGCAAACATGAATTGCGATTTTTCATTTTTTAAAGGGGTCATATGATGCTGCTAAAAAGAACATTATTTGGTGTATTTGGTGTAATGAGCTTGATCCACACTATGTATTTAGTCTCCTGTTTGTTGAGGAAGATGTCTTATTAGTCATAATATATCTTACCACTTAAAAGTGCAGCAAAGCTGTTTATTTAGAGGTTTTGCTAACTTAGTAACTGGTTTATTTATGTTTTTTTTTTTTTTTGGCATTTACAATTTTTCAATGCCG